TAATCCGAAATATTATGTTCATAGGTGACAATGATGGTCAACTGATAATGTGTATACCTGGATGTGGAGGCACAGGCAATCGCAACTAATTCGTTCTATCACAAAATACTTTTTTGTTACAAAAAGAATGTAAATGATGCGAAAGCTTGCACCAACTGGAATTGCTGCTGCTGAAATTGATGGTATGACAATTCACTCATTTCTTGGTGAACAACATAATTCACGAAAACCACACACCATCAAAGCAAGTGATTCAAAACTTGAGAAAGCATGGAGACTTGTTGAATATCTCATAATAGATGAGATGAGTATGGTTGGTTTAACTTTACTTGCAAAACTCAACCGGATTATTTCTGCTGCCAAACATGTGGATCCTCAAATTCCATTTGGTGGTGTGAATGTTTTCATTTTCGGTGACTATTTACAATATCGGCCTGTATATGATGTACCGTTACACACCGATTTTTCATTGCCTTCGAGAAAAAACTCAAGTAAATTACTTACTGAAAAAGAAATCCAACAATGTGTTGCACGTTCTTTAATTCTTCAAATTAATTGTGTGGTGAAACTTACTCAACAGATGCGAACAGAAGATTTGCAATACCTTCAGCTGCTCGAGCGACTTCGTCAATGACAATGCACTTACGATGATTACGAATTATTATTGACACGTGACGCTGGACGACCATCGGTCGGATCTCTAAAAGAACATCCGTGGAATAAAGTATACTTTTTTTTTGTTTTCAAAATAATTCTTCATCTCTCATATTTAGGCTCCTATTCTTGTATTTCGGAATGAAGTACGAACACAACTGAACTACAAAGCAGCGGTTCATAATGGAAAACAACTGAATCATTCACTAATGGTATGTGTTGCTCAAGATACTTGCAAAGGAAGAACAATAGAAGATCAAACACTCATTAAAAAATTATTGGAATTACCTGATAGCAAGATAGAGTATCTGGCAGGTTTATTACCGTTCGTTCCTGGAATGCCTGTTGTTTTAACACAAAACATTGCTATTGAACTGGGTCTTATCAACGGCATGAGTGGAATCTTTCGACAATTAGTCTATGACGTTGATTCTGTCTCAACAGATATGTTGTCAGAAGCATTTCCGAACAATACGCAATACGTACATTGACCTTTATATGCACTAATAGAAATTACCAGATCAAAAATTGAATGTAATCTGGAACAACTAGAACCAAATCTCGTTCCAATACCGTTAATAGAACAAACTTTTCGTGTTGACATTACTGACATTCTTCCAAAAGATAAGCGGGAATCCAAGCGTAAAGCAATTTTGTCAATTAAACGATGTGCAATGCCACTTGTTCCTGCGTATTGTATCACGACACATAAGAGTCAAGGCGAAACTTTAAATAAAGTCGTGATTGATTTGAAACTACCAAATGATACT